TCTGTATACTTCTTTTAGCTCTCTCTTTTCAAAGCCAGTACTCCATTGTTGAGATTTAGTCTGGTTGATCTATAAAGAGGGGATAGGGCGGTGTTGAAATCTCTGACTACTATTGTGTTGCTACCAAAGTCCTTCTTGAAGACTCTTAGCAGTTGTTTTAAGTACTTAGCTGGTCCCTCATTGGGTGCTTATATGTTCAGGAGTGTGATTTCTTCCTGATGTATATGTCCCTTGATTATTAAAAAAATGGCTTTCACTGTCCCTTCTAATCTTTTTCAGCCTGAAATCTATGTTTTCAGATACTAGTGTGGCCACCCCAGCGTTTTTGAGGGAGTTGTTTGCTTGCAGGATTGTTTTCCATCCTTTGACTTTCAGTCTCTGTTTGCTCTGACTGTTCAGATGTGTTTCTTATAGGCAGCAGAATGTTGGGTTCAATTTTTTAATCCATTTTGCCACTCTGTGTCTCTTAATTGGTGTATTTAGACCATTGACATTGAGGGAGATTATTATCATGGTGTTTTGTGCTATCTTTCTGTAGAGATATTTTGTACTTGTAAGGGGTTGTCTTGTTTTACAGTAGCTCCTTCAATCCTTCTTTAAAGGTTGGCTTTGGGTCTACGAAATCTCTGAGCTGTTGTTTATCCAAGAAATAGTGTATCATTCCTTTTAGTCTGAGTGGTAGTCTAGTCAGATAAAGTATTCTTGGTGAGGTGTTCATTTCATTGAGTCTTTTCACTATATCCCACCACTGCCTTTGGGTTCAGATTCCTCTGATAAGACTGCTGTAAATCTAAGAGGAGCTCCTTTGTATGTGATTTCCTTCTTTGACCTTGATGCTTGCAGTCTGGTATCTCTATCTGTGGTATTCGTTGTTCTGATTATGATATATTTTGGAGTGTTTTTACTAGGGTCTCTTTGAGCTGGTACCTTTCGGGATCCTTGGATCTGGATGCCTGCATTCTCCAGCTCTAGGAACTTTTCAGCAATGATATCTTTAACTGTTGCTACTTCATTGGAGTTGCCTCCTTGTGCTTCTGGTACTCCTATGATTCTTATGTTGTTCCTCTTGAATTCATCCCCTAGTCTCTGATTATCTCTATAGCTATTTTGTGGTCTTTTCCCATTATTCATTGTTGCCTGCGTACTTTCTGCAGCTCATCTTCAAGCTCAATGATTCTGTGTTAGTATGTTGTCATTCTACTGTTCAGCGTACCTGCTGAGTTTTTAATTTCATCTACCGAATACTTTATTAGTAATGCTTCTGTTTATAGCTTTCTTATTTCTGCTCTCATTTCTTCCTGTATTTAATTGGCTATCTGTTACACTGTTTCTTTCATGTCCTCCTTTAATTTACTGGATGCCTATTTCTCTTTCTTAGGACTCATTGAACATCCTCAACATTTCATCCCTGAATTCTTTATTGAATAGATCGTATTTGTGGGTGTTCTCTCATGAGGCTTCTGGGCTCTTCATCCTCTCCTTGTGGTGGGGATTTGAGCTGATTCTTTATGTTGTTGTGGTAGTATGGAGGTGGGAACCTATCAGTGTCTCTCTCTCACTGCGAGAGTAGATTCGGATAAGCTCGATGGTGGTCATCTTTTTCCCCTTATAAAATACTAACTTCCTCTTTGCTGCTCCTCTGTGACTTGCTGGAACCTCTAGTGCAGCTCCAGAGGATATGTTCTTTTATATGAGGCTAGTTCAGTTTCTTGTGTTCACTATTATTTTGGTGAGACTGGAATAGGCTGGGGACTATTGCCTAATGTGTCTGGGATAGCCAGTCTGTCCTCCTCAGGATTAGGTAATGGAAATTGATATGTGAGTCCAAATCTCTGGGAAAGGGGAAAATAACAGTAGCTGCTCCCCACCCTGGAGACCACGCCCCCTGCCCCTGCTGCACCTGTGGGGCAGTTGGCCCTTGGATGCCTGTGCAGGATTAAAGTCCCACTTCTGCTGCAGTCCTATAGCTTGTCAGGATCCCCTCTGGTCTGGGTGCTCTGGGGGCACCTTGGCCAAGAGGAGGTCTTGCAGTTCCCTGGGTCAGCTTCACATTCAGTAAATAAAAGTGAAAAGAAACTGGAATAAATAAAAGAACAGCCAATAAAATACATGAGAGCAGAAATAATAAAGCTACTTACAGAAGTATCACTAATAAAGGATTTGGTAGATGAAATTAAAAACTCAATGAGTTCCCTCAACAGTATCAATATTGCAAACCACAATGCCCAAAAGGAGAGAGAGAGAGAGAGAAATACATAGAGAGAAGAAAAGAGTCTGTCACAGAGACAGGCAGGAGGTGGGGGCTGATGGGAGGGAACCTGGGGACACTGGTGCTGAGAAATGTACACTGGTCAGTGTTAGAATACTGTATGAGTTAAGTCTAATCATGAACACCTTTGTAAGGGGATATCTCACAGTGACTAAAAAAAAAGTAAAACAAAATAGTGAACCTAGAAAATTATTTCTTAAAATAGCACGTGACAACAATGTGTGATCACTAAACAATAATGAAGCTCTGGCAAATGCCAAGCAAAAATAAATTCTTAATAGTTTCCAGATTCTTAAAATATAATCTGGATAAACAGAAATGTAGAAATATAATATAAAATATACAGTTTAATTAAGACTATGGATAAATTAGATAACTAATATTAGAAAAATTCTTTCATGTAACCCATGACAATGTTGGTCTCTTGTCTAACATCTTGTCCTTCTGTGATAGGCCTACATAGGTTTGAATCTCTTCAGATTTCAAGCTTTAAATAGCTCAAATAACAAACATACTTTGGTAGTTACCATTGCATAGTTTCACTGTAGAAGCCATGACCCAGTGATTTTCTTATGACCCTTTACTTTTGCCAGAATCAAAAACTGAGAATTTATTCATCTCCTTATGAACTATTTCAGAGCTCTAGCTATTGATTTAATTGACCTGGACTACAAATTTTAATTTTCTGGCATTGAGCTTCATTTCTACTGGGCACATTTCCCAGAAAATAATGAGTATTTGCTTTAAACAACAAGCATCTGTGATTTCTGTTTGGATTCACTTCTAGAAGAACCCTTGGTTATTAATAAATAGCTAAGGTCAAAGGTTCTATGAATGAAGCCAAACAGGTGACTTTTCCTTTTTTATTCCTGCCAAATGACAGACGGTACTAACATGAACACATAAACACCTGTTCCCTCCAATGATTGAATTAAGAGTTCTTTCATGAAAGGATAAAACTTGCTCCAGCATTCATGCAGACGATCACCTAATTGTACTGCTTTCAGGACCAGCTGGGACAAAAGGCCACCCCCAGCCTGTCAGTTGTGTGGGTCTTAGACTAGTGGTGAAGTGAAACACCTGTCAGGATTCAAGATGGAAATCTCTGAGTAAAGGAGAGTTTTCTGTAGTGTAGTCTGCTGTAATGTAGGATTTCAGCCAGCCTTGCACGTGGGTCTCATTTCCAACTCCTCCTATGAAAGGGAAATGTCCCTCCTGCCTGTACTCCTCAGGAGCATACCTGCCATCAAAGCACAGAATGGAGGGTGCTAGGGGAGAAAGGGGAAGAGATGAAGGAAACCTCCAAAGAAATATTAGTCTGATCAGCAAATGATCGATTGATTTATAAGCTAGGTAACTGCAAGTGTTACATTAGCATGTAGCACTGTACCACTGTCATCCAGCTGTTCATCAATTTGCTTGAGCGGGCACCAGTAATGTCTCTATTCGTCCCTGTCCCATGTTAGTGTAGCCCAAAGGCATCTGCTCGTTTCAGGAACACGAAGTGAGACTTATTGTTACTGTTTTTGGTATATAGAATACACCACGGGTAGCTCGCCAGGCTTTTCCATGCGGGAGGGATACTCTCATTAGCTTGCCAGGCTCTCTGAGAGGGACAGAGGAATTGAATCCGGGTTGGCCACGTGCAAGGCAAATGCCCTACCTGCTGTGCTATTACTTCAGCCCAGTGTTACATTACAATAAAAAAATAAATCCATGAATGTTGCCTCTGCTCTAGCCCCTTGAATCCCATGGAAGGCCTTTCTCCATCACTCATCTTTCCAGTGTTCCCGCTTTCCTGTAGACAAAAGCACCATAAGTGAGAAGTGCTGCTTCCATAGGCCAGGGAAAAAGCACACAGGTAGGTGCTTGCTTGGCACTTAGCCAAGGCTCAGGATTTCAATGCTGGAAGGATAAAAGAGCATTTAAAAGAGTTTGTTAATTTGTCTTCATTTCGTTTTTCCTTCATATCTATCTATCATAATGGGTAATTTTCAGCCCCTTCTGGGAGGCAGGGCAAAATGGCTTGCAACATTACCAGTCCTGAAGCCACTGAGTATTCAGGCAGGGACTCAGCAATGAAAAACCTTACCTTATCATGTTGGAAATGGGGCTGGCGGAATAGTACAGTGAGGCGGGCATTTGCCCTGTATGTGGCAGACCCAGGTTTGATTCCCCGGATTCCCATAAGGCTCCCTGAACCTGACAGGAGTGATCAAGCACAGAGCCAAGTGTAGCCCTAAAAACCACTGGGTGTCGCCAAGTCTGTCCCCAGAAAAAATTTTAAAAAGTTTATAAATAGCAGTCAACACATTCTTTATCTAATAAATGCCTTAATCTAAGGCACAGCTACTGAAAGAAAAAGAAGTGAGTGACAAGGGCACATGGTTTAACTCTAATCATGAAACACTTTCCTTTCCCTGTCCTCTTCCCAGTCACTAGCTTCCCATTGCAGTGTCTCTAAAGGCAGGTGCTTCCCCAAACACCACACAACGCAGGCTCAGAGCAAGCACCATTTCCTCCTGAGGCCCCTGCTGCCCTTGGGCCCTAAAACCAATGTCATCCACACCATCCAGTCCCACAAAAGGGTCTGAGTGTCCTTAACAAGGTCTTTCTCATAGAGACCTGCACCAGACTCAATGCATTTTAAATAAGGGGCCGATGCATCATATCGCTAAATAAAATAAATCACAAAGACAAGAGGATTACAAGTGAGCATTAAGGGTCATACCGCAGTACCCAGGAGTTCCACATACTGTCTTCATAAGCACCTGGTGCTCCACGATCTTAGACAGCCCGAAGTCAGCTGAAACACAAGCAAGAAGCAAGCATTTCTCAGCCTTCAGCCACTCAAAGTATAACTCACTTTCATTCGAATTTTTTTATATTTGATGATGAGGTGAAACGGACTCAGAATTTCAAATCTTGTTTAAACTGGAGAAAAATGTGACTCCCCAGTATGCTCTTCTCTATGATTCTCAGCTCTTAGTAGATGAGCTGTGCTTTCCGATTGTCCATACATATATGCACATATATATATCCTTTGTCTATACTTTTTAGTTTTATAAAATAGCAACTCTATATAATAACAAATAATTAGTGATATGATCTAGCATTTTAATCAATTGAAATAAGTAAAAAATTTGACTTTCATAAATGTAAAAAATGAGCAAAAATTATCAAAGTATTTATTCTGCTTCAAAATATATTCATTCCCTAGCTTATTTGATGAATAAAAAACTATTCTCATATGAAGAATAGAAGTTTATTTTTTCAAAACTCTTCTCTATAATTCCTCAAAATACTACCTAGATAAACCATCAAAGGTTGCTGCCACTCTGCTCTACTTGCTGAGCTGTATCTCTTTGACTCAAAAAACATCAGACATCATTCAAGGCCATTCTGCAAGAGAGGCAGGTGCAGAATCGATGCCATTTTTGACTTCAAAGACACACCCCCTTTACCAGGGATGTGCCTGATCCTTATCAGAGAAGCAGCAGGGGTCCTTCAGGAAGAAAGGACTGTCTACATTCATATCCATTCACTTAGAGAACATTCTTTAAGGATACAGCCTTTGAAAGTGATGTCAAAGGAAATGAGGACCACCTCTGTCCACTGCCTTTTAAGAGTGAGTCTGAGAACAAGGGACTCCTCACAGGCCATCAGCATCTTTCCTTGCATTAAAACAGCATATTATGTTGTCTGAATTTTCCCATGATCTATACAATTTAATTTTCAAGGCTGTTCATATTTATAAATGCATTGAACTCATCAGATTAGCCTCATAGCGGAAAGGAACAGATGAGCAATGCCTTTCACAGGATTTAAAACATATTCTCTTGAAGAGAAGCCATCTAAAATAGTGTTTATTTACTTATTTTTGCAGATGAGAATTTACTTTGGGATGAATACAGGATGTAACATTTTTTCCCCTTCAATGTTGATTTAAAGGTCACCTTGGATCAATCAGAATTTCCCAACGTTCACCTTCTCTAGTAGAAATAAAGAGCATGCTTAACTTCACAAGCAGTCTGGAGGCACTAGTCTCCAAATTAACATTCCAGAAAAAAACACAAATTTATAGACACAACATTATTATTTACAGATACCAAATACCGAAGTAAACTGATTACAGGTGACAAGAGATGAATAAATATTTTAAAATTCAGTGAAATAAGCTTCTTTTGATCTAGGCTAAGTGGTCAAAAGACATCTGGAAATGTTCTTACCAATTTTGAGTGGTGCATCTGGGGCCGGAGTTGCATAGAGAAGGTTCTCTGGTTTGAGATCACGATGGACAATTCCATTTTCATGGAGGTACTAAATAGGGGGAGAAAAATTAAGTAAAAACTAAATTAAGTAAAAACTAATTATTTACATGGTCCAAACACATGTTTAATCTTTTCAGATATACCTATGCAACATTTTATTTTAATGCATGCAACATGGCTCTACTAGCTTTTACTTAAAAAGTCTAAATGCTTCTGTTTTCCTAACATGAAGATGACAAGTATTTTTACCAATCTCTATCTTTGACTTTTATTGGACTGAAGCAGGAAAATGGTATCAAGTTTTTTGTTTGTGTTTGTTTTGTTTCTTGGAGTCACACCCAGCTGTGCTCAGGGTTTACTAGTAGCTCTGTGCTTAGGGACCACTCCTGGCAAGCTCAGTGAAAGAGCCCAGGTAGGTCACATGTAGGGAAAATGCCCAGTTGCCTATATTATCTTCAAGTCCCAAGATGGCATCATTTGATTTGTCTGTCTCTCTATTTACTAGAATAGTAGAACTCAATGATACATGTATTAGTCTATTCTGGGTTTCCCTGTCTATTATTGGGGGCATTAGAAGGCAAAGCTGTCCAAATGCTTCTTAGGCTTTCAGCTTTCCTTCCCTCATGGGGGAAAAGAGGCCACCCCCCACCTTTCCACTCAAGTGGAGTGTGTGCTGTAACAATTTATGGTGCCTGATGTGTCACTTGGTAATTTGGAGAACAGAAACTGCTAAGTGTTTCATTCATTGAAAAAAAATGGAGGAGGAAATGGGTGAGTCAGAAGAGGGTGTCCCAATTGCCCTCATACCATAGCTAGATACGTGTTGTGTGTTTCTCATGGACCCAATGTGAAATCTGTACAAGGGAACTGGGTACAGGTCCTCCTGAGATCCCTTGCAGGACTGAATGATGTTTTTCATCATTCAGGAAGGGGACAGTCCGATGCACCAGGAATGAGCAAGTGTCCTCAGGAGCAGTGTTGAGACTGAGAATCTGGTTTGTGGGTAGATTCTCAAGAACTGTGATTGCTGGCCTTTTTATCCTATATTTCTTTACATTGCACTGGTGAGTGAGGTCAGTTGCCCTCAGACTGCTGCCATTCCCATCCAAGGGGCAGGGAACTGCATGGTGCAGAGTTTACCATTGTGCATACATGTCACCGTTTCTTTGTTCACTCATGTGTTGTTGGGCACTTGGATTGCTTCCAGTCTTGACTATCAAAAGCAGTGCTTCAAACGGTCCTAAGAGTACAAATGAATACGTTTCTGGAGTAATGTTTTTGTGTGCTTGGGACAGATTCCAATAATCAGCCCTCTTCAGTGGTTTCCCATTGCTTTATCCTGGCTTTTAAGTCTTGATGATCAACCCCCAAGTCCCTCATCAGCCTAATATTTAGTCACTCTCCTCTTTCTTGCTCTGCTCTACAAATACTTTCACTACCATCAAAAGCCTTAATCTCTTCCCCATTAAGGATATTCAAGCATCCTTGATCCTTGTCTAGTTATCCCACTTCCTTAAATGGATATCTAAATCAATTTTTAAGCCCTCCTCCTCAGGACAGAGCTATAGTGTCAGGTCCTGTGTGACAGACTTTGTTCCTCCAAGTGCAGCTCTATGGGCCACCTCTTTCATCCTTTCATTTAAACCTCCTATTGCTCTTTAAAGCATATTTTTGTGGGGAGGGGTGTTTAGGTACTTTCTCTTACTATATGAATAACTCCATGAAGACAATTGTTTCTGGCTTCCCTGTACTAAGTATGCAAAAATAAACACTTTGAATGGTTAATAATTCAGTTTTTCTCTAGCCATGTAGTTCCACTTTTTAAGATTGTAGAGATTAAAATAATGGTGGTAATTATTATATTTCATTAATTTGCCACATTAATTTGTAGTTGAAATTAGTTTAAAATGTGGTAGTTTAAAGAAATGTAGCTATGTTGTAACAAGATCACTTTGATACATTTAGGTGAAACTGGTATATTTGAAAAATGTTTTGTATTTGTGAAACATCCTAAAAGAATTGGATAATAATGCTTAGTCACTTCAAAGGTATTTACTGCCAGTAAATAATGTTTACATCAATCACTTTTAGAAAAGCCAATGTAGATAGATAGATAGACAGACAGATAGATAGATAGATAGATAGATAGATAGATAGCATTTTAAAGCTCAGGCAAAAGTTTCACCTTTAAAATGACATTTTTAACAATGATATAACTTGTGGATCTTGCTCTCGACTAGCACTAATATAACTTTAATAATTAAATTAATGCATTCAGATCCTTTGTTGTTGATCTGAATATACTGTATCACTGTATCACTGTCATCCCGTTGCTCACTGATTTGCTTGAGTGAGCATCAATAACTCCATTCGGCCCAACCCTGAGATTTTAGCAACTTCTCCTTACTCATCCCTCCCAACGCTGCTGTATTGGAGGCTCTTTCAGGGTCCCGGGAATGAAACCCTTTATTGTTACTGTTTTTGCCAAGTGAATATGCCATGGCTAGTTTGCCAGGCTCTGCCATGCGAGTGGGATACTCTTGGGACATCTGCGGCCTCCTCAGGTTGATCTCTGTGAACTTGATGGAGTGTGCCCAGAGGCTGTTGAGCAGCTGGCAGAGTAGGACCCCATCGCAGAGGGTCTGTGCCAGGAAAATATGTATATAATAATAACACTTACTAATATTAACCTAGGTTTTGTGGTGTCAGGGACTAAAACCAGGGCTTCACTCAAGTAAGGAAAGAGCTCTACTGCTGAGCTACACTCCTGCTCAAGATTTTATTTTTGGGGAAGCAAAATAGTTATTTCAAGAAATTAAATTTATGGAGGGGGAGAAGAGAGAGGGAAATAGAGAAAGAGAAAGAGAGAGAGTGAGATATTAGAGAATAGGAGGGAAAAAGGTTGAAAGTAAACATCTCAGGCAGATAAGATGTGGGGCGAATCTTCAAGGTGAAGAATGTACCAACAATATTTTAAAGTCAAAACTCTTATTTTAAATATCTGGTGGTTAAGCAAATATCCTAAGCCATGAGGAAGGTGCTAAAACAATAAGTTAAAAACTGTGAATAACTTAAATATGATGTGGTTAATAAACATACTGTATTTTAACTATTTCAGGGAAGGTAATTATTAAAGAGTATAAATTTACAGTTTCAACTCTACTCAGAAGAGTGATGTCAGTTTTGAGCAATACTAATGACACTGTCACTGTAGATATATCACTGCTAATGTATTACTCTGAATTACACTTAACTGCATTTTACGTATAGAAGGTTCCATTATTTCAAGTGCAAATTCAAGTTGTGGATAAAATAGGTATAAAAACCATAAAGTATATATATATATATTTTTGATAAATATAGTCATTTATTATGTCTACATTGTCTGACATTAGATAAGAAATTATATGAACACATATAATACTTAAATTTTCAACAACATACTGGTTAGTAAAATGTATACTAATGATATTTCTGAATTCTGATAAAAATATTTTTAAAAACATTTTTTTTAGTGAAACACCATGAGGTACAGTTGTAGATTTACATTTTTTTGTGCTTGGGTTTGATTATACAATGATCAGATACCCATCCCTCCACCAGTGCTCATTTTCCACCATCATGGATAATATCCCCCCCGCCCCCATCCCCCCATAACCCCCTGCCTCTGTGGCAAGGCAATCCCCTGTGTTCTCTCTCTCCTTTTGGGTGTTGTGGTCTGAAAAAGAGGCATTGAGTGGCTAACATGTTCAGTCCATAGTCCACGCTCGACATGCATCTCCCCTCCTGGGAGGATCCTCCAAACACCCTTTATTTGGTGTTCCCTTCTCTATCTGAGCTGCCCTTTCCTCTAGAATGCCCAACTGGCCACTAAGCTATTGAGTAATCCTCCTGGTGCTGATCTCAGCTATTCTTGGGTATTAATCTCATATTTTGTTACTTTATATCCCCCAGATGAATGCAATCTTTCTATGTCTATCCCTCTCTTTCTGACTCATTTCGCTTAGCAGGATACTTTCCATGTAGTACCACTTGTATGTAAATTTCATGACTTCATCTTTTCTAACAGCTACATAGTACTCCATTGTGTAGATGTACCAAAGTTTCTTTAACCAGTCATCTGTTCTTGGGCATTCAGGTTTCATCCAGTTTCTGGCTATTGTAAGGAGTGCTGCAATGAACAAACAAGTACAGATGTCACTTCGACTATACATTTTTGCCTCTCTGGGATATATTCCCAGGAGTGGTATTGCTGGGTCAAATGGGAGCTCAATTTCTAATTTTTTGAGAATCGCCCATAGTGCTTTCCAGAAGGGCTGAACCAGTCAACACTCCCACCAACAGTGAAGGAGTGTCCCTTTCTCGCCACATCCGCGCCAGCATCGGTTGCTTTTGTTCTTTTGAATGTGGGCCAGTCTCTGAGGTGTGAGATGGTATCTCATTGTGGTTTTGATCTGCATCTCCCTGATGATTAATGATGTAGAGCATTTTCTCATGTGCTTTTTTGCCATTCGGATTTCTTCTTTGAGAAAGTTTCTGTTCATTTCATTGCCCCATTTTTGGATGGGGTTGGATGTTTTCTTCTTGTGGAGTTTAACCAGTATTTTGTATATCCTGGATATCAACCCCTTGTGAGCTGTGTATTCGGCAAATATCCTTTCCCATTCTGTAGGCTGTCTTTGTATTTTGGCCACTGTTTCTTTGGAGGTGCAGAAGCTTCTTAATTTAAGATAGTCCCATTTATCTATCTCTGTTTTCACTTGCTCAGACAGTGGCGTGGCATCTTTGAAGATACCATTAGCTTCAATGGCATGGAGGGTTTTGCCAACTTTGTCTTCAATGTACCTTATGGTTTCTGGTCTGATGTTGAGGTCTTTAATCCATTTTGATCTTACTTTTGTACATGGTGTTAGGCAGAGTTCTGAGCCCATTTTTTTGCATGTAGTCGTCCAGTGATGCCAGCACTATTTGTTAAAGAGTCTTTCCTTACTCCGCTTCACATTACTTGCAACTTTATCAAAGATTAGATGATCATATGATTGAGGGGAG